ATCAGTAAAACACACACATATACACACGCACACACACATACACACACACGAACACACACGAACACAGAACACATGCTCGCGTGCTACCTATAAGTTGGCTGCTGCTTTTCCCTGAAGGAGACCAACTTGTGGAATGGGGGGTTTAGCAACCTAACAAAACTCCCTCTACCTGGGCATCCCTGCCCGCCAGCTGGTTCTTCCACCAGCGGTCCTCACACAGGTGCCGCCACTCCAGGAAGCAGCGCTTCAGGCGGCCGCGGTTGATGGTGGCGATGATCTGCGTAAATACGAGAGTGCCGGTGAGAGTGCCGGTGAGAGTGAGAGTGCGGGTGAGAGTGAGAGTGAGAGTGCGGGTGAGAGTGCAAGTGCGGGTGAGAGTGAGAGTGCGGGTGAGAGTGAGAGTGCGAGTGCGGGTGAGAGTGCGAGTGCGGGTGAGAGTGCGGGTGAGAGTGCGGGTGAGAGTGAGAGTGAGAGTGAGAGTGAGAGTGAGAGTGCGGGTGAGAGTGCAAGTGCGGGTGAGAGTGCGGGTGAGAGTGAGAGTGCGAGTGCGGGTGAGAGTGCGAGTGCGGGTGAGAGTGCGAGTGCGGGTGAGAGTGAGAGTGAGAGTGAGAGTGCGGGTGAGAGTGCGGGTGAGAGTGAGAGTGCGAGTGCGGGTGAGAGTGCGAGTGAGAGTGAGAGTGAGGGTGCGGGTGAGAGTGCGAGTGCGGGTGAGAGTGCGAGTGCGAGTGAGAGTGAGAGTGCGGGTGAGAGTGAGAGTGCGAGTGAGAGTGCGAGTGCGAGTGCGGGTGAGAGTGCGGGTGAGAGTGAGAGTGCGAGTGCGGGTGAGAGTGCGAGTGCGGGTGAGAGTGCGAGTGCGGGTGAGAGTGCGAGTGCGGGTGAGAGTGCGGGTGAGAGTGAGAGTGCGAGTGCGGGTGAGAGTGCGAGTGCGGGCGGCCGCAGGTTGGGAAAGGGCGGGTGCGCCCAACAGGTGGGACGTCTACTGCGAACGCGGAGGCATATGCATGATGCTATATGAACAGGGCGCGGTGCTGTGACTAAGATAGTGTATGCGGCAATTTCAATCGCAGGCAGGAGGACTGGCGACATGGGGGGACCTACTGCCAAGTCCTGGGAGCACACCATCTTCTTAATAAGAGGCCGAAAAAACGGTACATGTGTATACCACACGCAGGTCGCGGAGGACTGAATGATCAAAGGGAAGGCCGCCCACCCGTGTGGCCGGATAGTAGCCCCCGACATGCTAAGGCATCTTTTTACGAAGCATAACGACCATCATCCAGCCCCTTCAAGGTGCCGTCCAACCACAGCACCCAACCGAAGGGGAAGACTTTGGTTCCCCCTTAGGGGGCAACCCCTTAGGGGACAACCCCTTAGGGGATGACGACTGATGACGAGGGAAAGACTTTGGGGTTCCACTCATCCACCACCCACTCGCCTACTACTACTGGTACACCGCCCACCCGTACCACCTAGGCAAGCCCTCTGCTACACCCCACCACTTCTCATGCCGCCACCCTAAGCCAGGCGGCCTTCCCCGAACCGCGTTTGCTTGGGACGAGGGGACTCAGCAGCCCCTACCTTTGCAGCCATTTACGGTCTAACCCCTGACAACTTCCACTTCCACACACGTCCACACAACCTCCGCCCTCCGCCCACCTTTCTCCTCAAGGCAAGGGTTTTATCCACCAGGCGGAACTTCTCCTTCCACGCCTGAAACGCCCGCGACAGCGTCCCGCGCTGCAGCCGCGCGATGGCGCGCCGCAGGATCTGCTGCTTAGCGACGGAGCCGTACCGTGCGGCGCGCCACGCGTCGAAAGCTTTTTTCATTACCGCCTTGTCCTCCAAACGCACCCGCTTTGCGAACACTTTGCGGTTGTGCTCAATGGCAGCTTGGACCTGTTTGGTGCCCCAAAGTGTGAGGCGTTGGTCAGGAGTTACAGCCATATGTATATAGGGTGGTTGTGTTCAATGGCCAAAAGTGTGCGGGAGTGTGCGGTGTTCGTCAGGAGTTACAGCCATATGTATATAGGGTGGAACGAGTGGGGGAGAAGGGGGGGAGGAAATGGTGCGGAAAGGCTTGTGCGTGAGTGTGTATGTGTGTGTTTTGATGATTTCAGCCACGATGAGGTGACGCGTGTGCGTGTATGAGACAGCAGCGCGTGCTGCTTATTTTTAGGTTTTGGGGTGCTGTAAGGAGTGAAGGAAAAGTCGGGGCGGCAGCTACGACTGCGGGTGCACCTGCGGTGCAGCATGGACCAGATAGCGCTACCTACTTAGCGCTGCACAGCACCGTTGCTGCCCCTGCCCACCTTGCTCGCCATGCCAGCCAGCGCATTCAGGTGCTCCAAGGCAAAACGATTCGGCAGATCGTCCGCGATGCCCATAGTCTTGGGCGCCGTGCCCTCCCGCCGCATGGTGTGCGCGCGCCCGTACAGCCCTGCATGGCAAAGTACGGCACCCTGCATATAAATCGCCGCAAGCCCAAAGCGCAACGGCATGCCGACGACCCAAATCCAGCAAAACAATCCCCTCGCGTATGAGAGTCTACTGGACCCGGGTTCTATGACCAGTGTTAAAGAACTTATATGTTATGATGCCTGAAGGCATCTCAGGACTTCCTGCTGCCCCTGGCAACCGCGACTGGCAACCACAACCGACAAGCACAACTGACAACCGCGACTGACAACCGCGACTGGCAACCGCGACTGACAAGCACAACTGACAAGCACAACTGACAACCGCGACTGGCAACCGCGACTGGCAACCACAACCGACAAGAACAACTGACAACCGCGACTGGCAACCGCGACTGGCAACCACAACCGACAAGAACAACTGACAACCGCGACTGACAACCGCGACTGGCAACCGCGACTGACAAGCACAACTGACAAGCACAACTGACAACCGCGACTGGCAACCGCGACTGGCAAGCACAACTGACAAGCACAACTGACAACCGCGACTGACAACCGCGACTGGCAAGCACAACTGACAACGGCGACTGACAAATACAACTGACAAGCACAACTGACAACCGCGACTGACAACCACAATCGACAACCGCCAGTTGTCAGCATATGTAACCCCACTCCCCGGGGCAGCTCTGCAGTAGCAGTCTACAGGTACTGCTACTGCTACTGCTGCCTAATCCAGTTCGATTTAACTGATGTCACGTCGGATCAGGCCGGATCACCGGTAGCGCAGAATGTGTGTGTGTGTGTGTGTGTGGTGTTACACGTCGGTTGCGTTACCGAGATAGAGAGGTGTAGTGTAGTGCTGGACCCTCCAATAACCCAAACGCCGGTTAGCACTTGCAGTAACGCAAAACACCGTTGGTCAGCAAACTATAGAACACAATAAGGGCCCAATAGGAAGCGTGTGAAGAGCGCGCCCGCACACCTCACACGCAGCCCCCAGTCGTCTCCTACCAGCCTCCCACTTTTGCCCATTTCCCCCTGTGCCCGATATCGCCCCGCGCGCCTGCATTGTACGCTAGCGCCCGCTTGGCCTCATCCAGGTTGAACGGTGCACGCGCAGCGTCCTCCGAACCTCGAGGGCTCAATCCGCTGCTCAGAGTGTACTCGCTCTGACTATCTTCACGCCAGGCATGGTCCACCTTACGGCCCCAGGTGCTGACGTCACCCTGGAACCTGGAGAGATGCAGAGGAAATGCGACTCGTTCAGGAAAAAGTGTGTGGCCAAACAAAAGGTGTGGTCGCCATAGCAAATACACGCCACGCTCATGTGGCTGTAAGGTACGTGTTCGGGCTTAGGGGATAGCGTTTCTTTTCCGCCTCGTTTAAGTGACTGCTGCTGCTGCTGCGCTGCGCTGTACGCCTAGACCGTGTGGCGTGGCAGGGAAACACTGCCCGTGGTGCATCTCATCGTTGATGCTGTTATTGTAGTAGTTTTTAAAAACGTTTGTTGTAGTTTTGGCGCGTTGGAATGGGGGAAGCGGTGCCGACGCGCAGAGAGTCCAGTTGCTGGATTGCATGGGCTGCGGGGGCTGCGGGATTGGTTTTTTTTCACTCGTCACGCTCGCCAGTCTGATAGCCGGCATGTACTTGGTGCAGAGAGCAGCTGTACGGTAATGTTTTTGCGCAAGTGCTGTATGTGCTTACCTCGAACCCTTTGGATCACTAGGCTTAGAGGACGAACTGGCGTTTGTAGCAGTCATACTACTGCGACTGGTGTAAGACTCGCTCCTGCTGTAAGACTCGCTGTCGCCGGTGCTCTGCTCGGACTCGTAGCCGGATGAATATTGATCGTCGCTGCGGCTGTACTGCGAGGTACTGAGCGTATGGTGGCCACGCCGGTCGTCGTCATCGTGTTTGCCATGGCGCCGTCGCCGATCTGCACGCATGTGCGGCGGCATGCCCGCAGCTGAGCCAAAGCTGCGGTTGGGAGTGTACGCGGAGGTTACATGCTAAGCAGATCTTACGTTCACCGGTATAGTACGAGGAACGAATTGATGGCTCCGAATCTGCTGTCGTTTCCCGGCTCTGTACAGATTGGTCCGGCCGGTTGCTGCGATCGCTGGGCGATGGGGAGTGTCTGCGCCGTGCGCCAGGGCTTCCATAGGATTCGCTTGGTGGTGGTTTTGACGATAACCTTGAGCCGCTCACGGCAGAGTCCCTGTGGGTGTAGCGTCGCAGTAGCCATTGGTGCCCAGCATAAGGACAACATTAACCTAAGCTTGCAACCATTTAGTACCGACCTATAGCTAAATTTGTCTTGATCGGCCTGGACTGAGCGCCTCTCGGACATCTTGCAGCGTGTCCCAAGACAGATGGCGGAAGGTTGACTACCTCATATTAGGGCGACAATCGATAAGCAACAGTCAAACTTTTTCGTGTTACACCTGACGCCCAGTTGCAATTCGCCTAGACCATTTTGGGTACCCCCGAGGCAAACGTTATACGACAGTTACGACATTTTCCAGGATGGTGACCGTTTCCCTGCTTTCGTTGCAGAAATACTTTTCCTTTCGATAAACTATGCATGGGCATTTTTTTCAGACTAAAGCCGATGTCCATGTTATAGTTTTTGAGGTAATTTCGTTACCTTACAGCTCCAGCCCCAGCGGCCCGGGCAATGGCGGTGCCACATATTGATGTCTAAAACTATCTTGACTTTATACCCCTCAGCGGGATGTCTCATCTTCATCACGCACAGCAGGGTCACGGAGATACCGGTCTGGCCATGAGGCCCTTGCCGATTTTGGATGGCAGCGATGTTCGGCCCCCGCTGGCTCTGCGCGACTGGGTCCAGACTTTGCCGGCCACCCTTCAGGAAACGCGCACCGCTGCCACGGCTCTGCGCGACTTGGTGCAGGATGCCGTGTACTTGGACGAGGAGTGTTACAGTAGCGCAGTGGAGCATACGCATTACCACGAGAAGCTACATGTAAGGGTTGCTGGTGCAGCGGACCATGGCGTCACGAGTCATGCCGTGCCCAGTGTCCGGGGACGCCAACCCGTCCGTTTAAGCGTACGTATTGGGTGTATGCGCGTGCTTACTGGCCACGCGCGTGCTTTTTGGCCACGATGCAGGTACAACAAAAGCGGGTGCATGACCTGGAGAATGAAGCTGCTGCATTGCGTGCAGAACTAGAGCGCAAGGACGAGTTGCTGACAGCGGCTGCCGCAAGGCAGCGCGAGGCGCAGCGACAAATTGCGGAACTGCAGCAGGAGCTGGAGAACAACGCAGGTACGTTAAACTTATGTTTGGTACTCCAGCCGCGGCTTCCTTTCTTAGGCAGGGCTAGACTGAGTTATCGGCTGTACACAAGCGACCCTGTTCCTGAGGTACGCGGCCACATGCATGGGGGCCGAGAAAAAACACACCCTTACCCATGCATTTTGTTGCTTTGTATGTGCAGTTGTGTTTCGGATGCACTACCAGGAGCTGCTCACCCGTAATGAAGAGATCGAGCGCCTCAAGACAGTGATAGAGGGGCTGCAGGGTGGTCCATGATCTCATTCTTCAAGCTATAATTGCTGTACACTGCTGTATAAGGCCTCCGGCCATGTGGACTCAGGAGGTTTGGGGATAATAGTTGCATTGCTTTTGCGTGGGCTGCGTATCGGCTTTGAATGCGTCGCGGCGCATTTAATGTAGGATGTGGAGCATATTGCCTAATTATATACATTATGCCAAGGGCCAACGGCACGAGCTAAATTGCTTTCTCAGAGGGAGTTGAGAACCTGCTGCGAAATCAGTGGAGAAAAGATGTGGACAGGACGTGTCACTGGAGCCCAGGAGCTCCACAAAGTGTCCAGACACGCATGGGTCGCTGGAAGAATAAAAACTCGTTAGATGTCCAACATTGTACTTTTCTCTCACGACAAGCAATTGTTACACTAGCAGCACAGCAGTAAATTATCCAGCAGCTGCAGGTCTTTGTATACTGTTTTAGTCCCCTCATATACCACAAGTCACTCAAGTCATGAAAAAACTAAAAGCTGCCCTTTAGGAAAACAACCGGTTCCGAAAAGATAAAAATATAAACCTAGGCAATGTCGTAATTCATATACTTCAAAGCCATCAGTAAAGGAAGTGCAACCCTACCCGCTACATAATGCTCTAGATCCGCTTCCCTTCTCAAGGCCACAATCCGCAGCTTTTCAAAAGGAAGTGCACCTGCCCACTAGATCCTCACCAGATTTTCACCAGATCTCCCTCCCGCATCAACATGTAAATTGTACGAGCAAGCGAACATGAAGTCCGGACAAACCCCACACATCTCTTTTGAGTACCAGACCCGCCGCTTGCCAGGTCAGGACCCGAAACTTGGCCGGTATGCAGAACAAGATTGCACCACCACTCACGTTACACAGACGTATACACACACCAGATACACGTATACACATGCATCACCACGCTGACTTCGCCCAAACACCTCCCCTCTATGACCAACTTACATCACTCTTACAGTGCTCTGCCCGGGATCTGAACAATTAGTCGTCGTCATCATCATCATCATCGCTGTCGTCTTCTGGATCAGGCGCCCGTTCCCGGAGCTTGACGATCCAGTGCGTGATTAGGTCCATCTCCTCCAATGTCAGATCCGCCTCGCCCAGCTTGGCCTCGTACTCTGCAGGTCATCATAGTAGTCCTCCCTCTCAGGACAACCACCCTTCTGTTGCGCTTTGCTGATCAATCATGCACGGAGGTTCCAGTCCATTTTAGCGTGAGAAGCGTGATTGGAATGCCGAACAGCACGTACATGATGCAGTCGGGACGGTCTTCAAGTCCTGCCCTTCCTGTCTGCCTTACCTGTGAGCTTCTGAAGTAAGGCGCTCCACTCGTCCTTGTCGAGGCCGGCAGATGACGGCAACCCTGAAAGGCCAAAAGGAAGATGAGCAACATAGGGCTCGATGGGAGGCACATGCTTGACCGCCAACACGGGGGCACTGGAACCTTGCCTAGCACTTACTGCGGCATGGCATAACCAGGTATACGCCAGAAATGCACGACTTTGTCATTCTCATATGTTCACACGTTAGCGGCAAGTCAGGTTGACCGGAAGGAATTAACCAATCTCGGCAAAATACGTCCCCAGGCACGGATTGCGCCTTACCTGACTTGGAGAGCACGTCAATCCATCGAGCGCCCACAAGTGACGGAAACCGATAGTTATCCCCGTACGAATAGCCGCCAGCCTCCTTCCATGCTTCCGCTTCATACGAGGTAAGGTCATACGCCTCAGGCTTCTCACTGATAAGCTTGGTCACCTCGCTAAGCATTGTGATTGCGCGGTTGACCGGGGCAATGGCAGAGTCATCGTATATCTTGAGAACGCGCCGAATTTCATTAACTGAAGCCGCCATGGCCAACAATTCGGGTTAAGTCCAGACGAAGAATGTAGTAGACGCTAACGCCACATTACATGCTATCGCTGCTCCGTTTAGGATTGTTTACCACTGCCAGTTGTCCGGCACTCCGCAAATACGGATATAGATCCAGCGGTTAAAGCTGCCGTCCAGAGCATGCGGAAATGTATGTCAGGAGGATATGCTCCAGCACTCGTGGCTTGTGCAAGTGTGGCCTAAGCGCGTCCGCGCATAACGCGGCATCCGTAAACGAAAGCTTCATTAATGGCAGAAGCTGAGCTTCGTTAAATCCGCATGCCATAGCTGCTGCCTTAATGACACGGCCGTTGTCATGGTCTACGCTTTGCTGAGGACGCGATGATGATCCGTCCTCAGGGAAAGCCTGGATGTTGGTGGGTTTCCGGGCATTGATATCCTTGTCGAGCTTGACCAGAAAATGCTGAAAATGAAGCTCCTCGTTGCTTAATTCAGACGGACACGTCTGTGCACAAGATACCGTATCAACACTACAGTATTTCATTTTGCTCTGCAGCTTACAAACAGGAAGCACACCTGCGCAGGAAGCACCAGTGAGCTAACCTTGTCGAAGTTTTCTGCTAGGTTACTGGCTAAAGCCCCGGTGCCTCCAATTTCGGGCAAGAGAAAATTGTCCTTGACTGCTTCGGGCTGCATTTCCAAGTTAACCCAGCACCTTGAAATAGTGGTTTGCACTTATATTATCTAGTTCTTTGGATCTGCCATATATTATACCAGTTAGGAGCTTTATAACGCTATGTCGTCCACCGTACTGCTGCACCTGGCCACTTAACAACGTCCTGTAGTCAGCGCAACCCGCAACATTCCAGACAGACATAACAAAGATACTGCGAGCAATGGGTTTGGCAGGGCGCTGGTGAATCTCTGCAGAGGATTGGAAATAGTGATTCCAAATGGGCCTGTTCGCGGGGACCTGGAAAGGGAGCCCCCTTTTTGGCAGGTAGTGCGGGGATAAGCATGATTGATCCTACACATCCTCGCCTTCGCTTTACACCAAAGCGACCAGTTTGCAGGTTTTAAGTATTCCCGTGGCATCAACAGGTAATAGGGTAGGAGAGTTGCTCGGCGATTTAGTGCTGTTGCAGTGCTGGATGCCCGCACTGGGGCAGGAAATCCCGGCGGACGGCAGGGAGGTAGGGAAAGATAGGGAACGTTTCGACGTTAAGAATTGGCAAAACTATGCACAGCACTTTACTGAAGACGACGCACCCTGTCTCCAACGCATTTCAGAGGCCATAGATCGTTTTGGAAGCCAGCTGAATTCCAGTCAGGTGGTGGCTGTGCTGAGTGCTGAGCTTACAGGAGTTTTTGCAAGAGCCTGTGGCAGGAAGCGCGCACAAACGCGTACTCGTAAACAGAGTGACACCCCCCGATCGACGAGTGGATGTGCAGAAGCTCGCTCGCCTCTGTTATCGCACAAAGCACGGATCGGGGCTGAAGGTTTGCTCAACGACCAGACGGCAAAATCGGAGTTTTATCATCTGGGTAGGAAGGATCAGCAATTGCTCAGAGAAGCGCGAGAGGCCTATCGGGTGACGCAGTTCGAGGAGCTCTTGCGTAACTGCATTAGCAACCCCAAAGGGCTTTTCGGCAGTTAATGTAATACAGGACGACTGTCCCGTGGTCCCGGCAGTCGGTCGCGCCAAGAGCGCTGGTATAAACTCTGTGGCAACAATAATTGTGTTAGGCAAATTGTTATGTTCACGGGAGCGGTCACCGATGGACGATTCGCTATCATCTATTTTTGCTTCTTTTTTTTGGATTCTTTTAATTGGAGGACTTTTGAGGCTCAGGCCTCTTTCATTAATGGTTGTGGGTCCCGAGCCTTCCCTTTGGTCGCGCGTTTGGCTGTCTACATGACTTGCATTGTCTCATCTGGGTGGCAGTGTAGTTTGTATATTCGTCTCTAGTGCAGTGCACGTCCAGCTGGCCCGCTGGCTCTACTCTTCGTGAGTCTGGAGCCCAGTGTAACAACCACACACAACAATAATGCAGTAGGAGTGTCCCGCCTACAACGACCTTCGGGAAGGGCTCCTCAACCTGTAGGTGTACGTCAGGATGATATCAAGCCTCCGTGCCTAATATGAGATCTGTCATGAAGATAGATGATCAGCGCGGACTTGCGCAGATCGTACACAACATCTGGATGAGGCGACGCGTGCTGATAGCCGAGTAGTAAGCCCTGAGGTCGCTTACCCTAGTAACTAGGGGTTTCTCCTGCAGAGGAGGTTTTATAACACTTTTTTCCTTCTTCCTTTCTTTTTCTTCCTTATTTTTGACTACGCTAGAGCTCGCTGAGGTCCATGAGCCTCCTGGCTTGTCTGGGCCTTACGAGCTCTCGCGAGCTTGAAACATACCATAACTTGTAACAAAACATAACAGCACGATCGTTACCAACAATAGACCGGCTACTGCGTCCAGCATAAAAAGAACGTAATAATAATAGACGTATACGAGCCATATGCATCCATAACTAACGCTTGGAACAGTCGGTGCCCAAGCACCGTGGTAATATACGTCCCGGCTCGGAAAATCATCCGCAGCCCGCATCCGTTCGCTCTATGGATAAGCTGTAAGCACTAATCCAGGAGGAAAATCCAGCACATGGAAACGACCATAACCAACGTCAACTGCCCAATCGCCCAACCAAACTGAGGTTGGCCAGTCACATAAGAGCATTTAGGTAAGTGCATCATCCAAACTATGCACTTCACGACCGGTCTCGGATGCCGCCACGCATATTAGGATGCGAGGAAAAGGCACCACCCACAGGTTACTCAGTCTCGCCATGGGCATCAGTCACGTTAGCTTGGATGATGGCGCCCACAAGGTTTTACTTCCGGTTAGGAAGGGTCCTAAACCTGAAATCGCAAGCCATCCGAAAACCTCGTCATCACAATATGATGACCTCTGCCGCATGTCGCTCGTATGCCGCACTTCGCCAGACGAGATCCATCACCATGACCATAACCACCAACACCTTGACCACCAACACCGAAATGGTGCCCCGCAGCGTCCGGGGGGATGTGCTGGAAATGCATCAGTAAACCCCCCTCCTAAGAATCCCTATGCGTTTTATCTAATCATAGTTTCTAGCACCCGTACTTGCATGACCCCAATGCTGTCCACCAATCGGCTCATTCTCCCACCATCGCTGGCGCCACGAGCATCGCTTTGGCATTTCAATGTTCCAAATCTTCGTCAGCACTTAGAACCGCTTCAGATTCCGTTCTCCTGCTTAATAGTCACCGGTACACCAACCGGCTGAATTGCCGACCCTTGCCGCGACATACTCGGCGCTGGTGCCATGCTGCTCTGAACCCCAACCGGCAAAGCCACCTGCTGTACAGCGGCCGCCGCTGCCACACCAGCGGCCGCCGCAACCCCCGGCGTCCCTGCGTCAGGCATGGCAGGCGCCGGCATCGCGCCGCCGCCGGCTAATGGCATGCAGCCCAGCATGCCCGGGTTCCCAATAGCAAACGGAAACTGCGCGCCCGGTATGCCTGCAGCACCCATGGCTGCCGCCGCCGCCGCTGCCTGGTTAAGCGCCCCAGGCATCAACTGCGGCGGCATGACACCTAACCCGCCAGGCATCCCCGCCGCCGCCGCACCGAAGAAAGAATCCATGGATGCCATTTGCGGCAAGGGCGGAAGCCCAGGCACAGGGCCCAGTCCAGCGGCTCCTGCCGCTGGGCTAAATGGAAACGGTGGCATCATAGGCAACAGAGGCGTTGGCGCCGCCAGCGAGGGCTGCGGCGCGACAGGGGAGGCCCCTGCGAGGGCGGCGCCCGGCGGCGAAGCCGCCACCTGTGGAGCCACTGGCGATGGCCCAGTGACTGCCATTCCGACGCTGCCGCCAGTGGGCGGTGTCGCCGCCGCCGCACACAAGGACGTGGACGCCGCCGCGGCGGCCGTCGCCGCGATGGCTGCCGCCGCTGCCATCGCTGGCGGCGGCGCCATTGCCGCTGCCCGGGGCCCCGCCCACTGGGGGAAGCGGCGCCGCTGGCGGCAGTTTGAGTCCCCCTGTTGGCAAAAACTTGCTTGCCAACTCAAAATTTGGCTTGCACAGGAAGGGCAGGCATGTGACCCATAAGTTCCGCCTATGCTGCTAAGCTGCTGCTGGATCCCTAGAAGGTTGTCCCGGTAGCGTAAAGAAGTCTGTGTTTTCCATCCCCTTGAATGCCGCCATGTTTGATTTAATTGCGCCAGGAGGGGGTAATTCTGTTCCATAAGTTGCGTCAGAACCAACGGCACGCCGGGAGAGGAATCGTCGACCGAGCCAGCCGCTCCGGCCCCGCCAGCGCCGGCCGTACCGGCGCCGCTGCCTTTGCCTCCCTGTTGCGTGTTGCCTCGTGTCTGGACACCGCCGCCGGCTTTGCGCTTGCTGGAATCTTCCAAGCCGGCTCGCCGGGCCTTATCATCCAAGCCGCAAGCCTTGACCCGTAGAGCGACGTCTCGCGCGGTCTTGCTTGGTAGGCTGGCTGCGACATGGATGTACCGCTCGACTGGCGCGTACTGCAATTGGACGAGTTTGACCAGTTTGACGACAGAGTAGCAGGAGAGCCGCAAAAAAATGATATAATTTCGCAGAAAGCGGATAAGGTCCGGCAGTGGGATGCGCGAAAAAAGGAGTGCTTTGCCGAAAGAATTAAATTGTGTTTAGGGTTTTAGCAGCCGCAGTAATAGAAGATTGCGTGCTTTCCTCTGCTGTGCGTGCCTGAGCATGCGGGTTACGGCATCCTGCCGTTCCTGCACGACGGGGCGGGCAGCATTGTTACACGCGTTTTTGCTTTTGCAACAGCATATTACCCACTTCCTACCAGGTGACACCACAATGCCTCACACGATTGCCCACTCCGTTCTATGGTATAAGAGCGACCCATTTGCAATTACACATTTTACGTTGAAATATTGTTGGATGGCCACCAAATTTTGCGCAAGTACCACTCTCTTTTGAACCCCGGCTCCCGCAGTCAACGCCCTACGCAAAACCCAGACGCCTTGCAACGGACCTTGTCGGCTGGGAACCGAGCTAAGGCGCTCTCCAACACGACAAGCTCCTCAGGCGTCCAGTCCGAGCCAGTGGTGCCTTGGAGCTGGAGCTCGAAATCCGTGTCGAAATCCTCGCCTGACGCACTGCTCCCGTTGTTGGCAGGGGCTCCAGGCTGCTGCTCCCTGAGCGTGTTGTTGCTCTTCTCAGCGGAGCTTTGCGATGATGTGTTAGCTGTTTGTACGTCCAAATTGCCATTGGGTCTGCTGCATGTGAACCAATCGGGGATGTCAAGGACTTGGCGGCGTTTGCAAACCAGAGATGCAGGATTCCTACCTTGCTGGCACAGCGGGGAACGTGGCAGCCGTGCTAGCCATACTATGCACGATACAGGGAGACAATCCGTGAAGGCTCCGGCATTCAGTGATGACTTCTAGCCCTACGATGACGTCTGGCTGACCTTTTCATGGGTGCTGGGAGCCTTCCCAGGACCCGGCGTCAACTACCCAAATATAATGAGCAAATTGACCTGTAAGCATACGGGCAATTTAAGAAAAAACGACGCCTGGAGGCGTAGTCCTGGCGAATTCCGGCCGCCGAGAGGCAGAGGACGATTATTTAATATAGAACCAGCTAAAAGTTGCCTGTTGACCGAATGCACCAAACTGCTTCGCATCTGCTTCGCTGTCTGCTCTCGGCCCTAGGCTGTACTACGCCTCGTTTTCGTTCGTCCGGACGAACGTCGCACTTTGCATTCGATGCTTTACAAGTCACACATTACTGCAAGCAGCTCCTAGATGCTATCTCTTGCGTCTCTGTTGAACCCTGAACGCATACTGAAACAGGAGCAGAGGAATACCTCTAAAAATGTCGATGGCTTTCGTCTAAGCAATGGGAATAATTCTTTCAAAACGTATTTTTAAGCCTTAGCGGCCAGATGGGTCGGAAGAAATCTGGGGCCCCAACGGGTCCGTCCAACACATTTAAGTATGGAATGCCAATTTACGGACTCGCATGGCCCGATGGTAAATCGTTCTATGCGTGTGGTGGAGGCGGCAGCGTGTCAAGTGGCATCAAGAACCGTCTTGTATGTGCCGAGGCGGAAAACAGCACGTTGACAGATCAGACTGCTGAGTACCAGTTCGGCTTAAAATGTCCTATGAGGTGATTATGCAAAACGTTGTGCACATTGCTGGACTCAGCGGCGATCCGGGTTCCATGTCTCACTTGGCCCACTTGCCAATGCTCGCAAGGATGGCCATGACACCCGACGGAAAGTCCATTCTGTTTGCGATAGGGAACGGTGGCATTCAGCGACTGGATGTCGACACGCGTGCTAACGTTCCCCGCATCACCGAGATAACAGGCAAGGAAGGGAAGCGATGTACACGTCAAACCCCCGAAAGGGCTGTATGGTACACACAGGGCCGATCCCCTAAGTTGCATCGGCTTTCCTCAAAAACGCGCCTTGCAACCGCTTCGTCATGTCTGAACGGGCTCCTCGCCTCATAGCGACAGCTGTACGCATGCCCCGAGCTTGCTTATTTGCAGAACTCATTGCCGCAGCCTATTTACCTCAGCCGGTTTGCCCGTGCTTGGTATGGCATTTGTTTCTCCGGCTCAGAGGAGTTTTTGTTTTTCGGCCGGCTCTCACACAGGGGGTTTAGTGGAGCAACTTAAGGCGGTTACCATGGATGTGAAAGCCATCGCCTTCCATCCATCCGGGCGTTATGTAGCTCTGGGCGGCAAAGATGGCTCCGTACTGGTGTACGACTGGCCCTCCCTCAAGATGAATCTGGACCTCAGGCAAGTCTAAGTCTCCTCACGGTGCCCGATCCTGTGCTTGGCGTCATGGCCATGCCACCATGGCCTTACTAGCCTGATGACCTTACCTTACAACGGCCGGTATAACCGTACGCGGTTCGGTCCACGCACCGCTTTGTGCAGGCCAATAGAAATGCGCCGAACCAGATCTTACCAGGCCGCCTTACCAGGGCCAAACAAAACCAGACCACAGAGTCCGCAACTGTCCACGTCTCCCTTTCACATCCTTCCCCCAACAAAACGGAATGTGACCCAAATCGGGATCCAAACTCTCCGCAATGGGGGCGAGATATCTGACTGACCCAAGACAATGCCAAATGGAAGGAGCTAAAGGGAAGGTCTGAATCAGAAAGACTGGAACGGGCTAAATATGGATTGGCTACTTGTCTTGCAGTTTCGTGATAACTGATTCAGATGTGCAGGACAGCTTGTTTCCGTGCTTTGGCGCACGGCATCGTCTACTACGGTGTTTCAATCTAATGCGATGTACCATTTATGAGCCACACAGCTCTTTTGTTCGTACATTCATTCGTACATTTATTTCCGTCGCTGCCGTTGCGTCTACATGTCCCTAGATGTCTCCTCTTTGCCTCGCTCGGCCTTGCCGTAATCGCAGCGGCGACCGCAAGCTGTCCGGGGAGGAGATTAAAGATCTGGATTTTGTGCCGTACACACCAGCAGCAGCCGCCAGCTCCCAGCCTTCGGGTGCCAGCCGGGCAGCACCGGGCAGCAAAGCTCTCATGGTCATCCTGGATAACGGCTCCGCGGTTGCAGTGGACGTGGACAAGGGCGGCTCAGTGTTGTGTCGGGTGCAACTGGCTACCAAGAGTAAGCAAGCAAGGGAAAGGGAAATAATATCTGAAATAATAAGTGAAAATAATAACTGAAAATAATAATTGAATCAGGGGTCGCAAGCTTGGAGGTCGCTGTGTTTTTGGGGTCAAGGTTGGTCGCCGGCTTCCCTGGGGCGGTTTCAGGGACTACGGGTAGAGTAAGGCTTTGGAGATCGTTGCGTTTTTCCGTCGCGGGATTTTTGGTCCTCCAAAAAACAGTTGCAGTTACAGTTACGTTAAAGGCGTGACCGGTCTGAGGGACATGACTCAGATGACTGACATACACACACACACACACACACGCACAGATTCGCATGAGGACAGGCGTGCGTGCGGTGAAGGCCTTGTTCCGGGGTTCCATGTGTGGGCAGCACGTGTGGAGAAATCGCCATGTGGACGAGGAACCGGCGGACTTGGCGCTTGCGCGTTGTCTTTGTTTCTGTCTCTTACCTTGATGGGGTGGGCCGTAGCACCCAGCTTGTCCGCAACACACAGGGAGCTCGGCGACGCAACATAGATTGACTTCCAACGGGTCCGTCCTGGCTTCGGCTGGCTGCCTCTACGACTGCGGTTTCTCGGGGAGCCGTCTTCCCCACGAAGCTCGTAGGCAGCATACTGCAATTTATTCTGGTTGCGCGCCCGGCGACATCCACGTCGTATTTTTCCCCTCTTTCCCACATCGCATTCCCTCCCCGCCACATCCCCACGTCTGGCAGGCGAGTTGAAGGACGACAAGGTGCTGCTCATCTCGTCTGACGACCGTCTCCTACTCCACCATCTGCCGCCAGGCAAGTGGTGTGAGCGGCACTGGTACTGCGGCAGCTTGCTGGCTGCCGGTGTGCTATTCGTTGCGATGTGGTTGTAAATTCCCCATGTACAGGATAGGGTAGGCCCTCGCTTCCGCAGCCACCCATGCCCATGGCCACGGTACCTAGATTTACCTTGGCCCCATCGCACTTGTGTGTATCCCCGAACGCACGTTTTCGTTGCCCTTTCTCATTCACGCTATACAACAAACACCCCGTAGATTGAAATGCACACCGCTTGCTCTCGCATTCGATCCGGCCCGTTGCTTCTTTCTTCCTGCTCTGCACGTACGTTCATACGTCGTACGCCGTACGCGCGCACGCGTCCGTTACGCAGGCATGGACCGTGTGCTGTTTACCCGGGTCAAGTGTCGGGAGGCTGCAGCAGCCAGCGGGGGTGAAGGGCGCCCCGCGCTCGCGTGCCTCATGAACAACCGCAACGGCTGCCATCTGGCCATGTGGGAGCTAGGGGACGACGGACTGCTGTCCATGCGAACCGCCTGTAAGGCGGCGGATGCGCCAGGGGCGTGCATGGATGTCAGCACGGACGGGTCGCTGGTCGCTGTGGGCACCTCCGAAGGCGACGTGGTGGTGAGTTCTGTCATTATGCTGTCAGGCCCGGGGGCTGTGCTGGGCGTATTCGTTGGCTTGGCTTCAAAGGGAAAAAACAAATTTCCTAAACCTCTGAAAATTGTAAAGAAAAAATAAAACAACCTTTTAGATACGGATATCGTGTCCCGAAATGTCGCTTGTTTTTGGATTTTCGCTCGGCGGCTTTTCAGCTGCTGGGTTGCCGGCCGCACCTCAGAGTGGTCAAGCGCTTCCCTCGCGCACACATGGTCTTTACCACCATCGTCACCTTCAACAAGGACGCCACCTACGTCTTGTCCTCTTCCCTGGACGCCAGCGTCACCGTCAATTCCACGGCGCTGCCGCCGCCGCCGGACTTCAAAAAGTAAGATAGATGATATGTTGGGGGTTCAGTTTTTGAAGGGCTCGTTGTTGGGGTCGACACTGACGATTACTGCATCGCTACTGCAATTGATATGAACTAATCCTGGTGATGATGATCGCGGCTTTGCTGGCGGGAGCTGATATTTGTCCCTGCCTCTGTTCTCATCAAACTGCCGTTCCGACTCTGCCTCCGTCACCACGGCCACCTGACTCCGCCGCTCAAACCCCCCTCTTCCTGCCGATGCCGTTGCTGTGCTCAAGGTTCCTGGTGCTGGCCTTCCTGTTAATCGCCATCCTGCTGATGTGCTTGCTGCAAGTGGTCAAAGTGCTCAAGCAGCGGGGCATGAGCACGGAGGAGATTCTCGCGCTGCTGACGCGGCGTCCCAAGGAGGAGCTCTGATGGTTGGAAATCGCATGGTTTTGAAAAACTCTCGGAGGTCTCCCTTTTTTAAAGAACTGATCCGCGAGGAAAAGTTGATGGGTATGTTACACGCGGTAGTTTGTGAGACGTGTTGAACGGTTTCTTGCTCGCGTTTTTGCATGTTTTGTCGTGCACGGCAAGTGTGTGTGTTGGCGTTACTTTATGCAGGCGCCATCGAAATGAATAGCGTCAAGTTGCTGGCCCACGTTCACGTTCAAGACCAGACTGAGGAAGTCCAACCAATAAAGAAAAGAAATTTGAGCGATGTCTCTAATAAATGTCGTCGTCTGCCCAAATTGAGATATCTTGGAAGAAATGCTCTATGGGTTATCTGCCATGAGAAATTGCCTGGATAGCTGTTAAGCAAAAATGGAGAACTGGGATTACAGTGGAATCGATTAGATCGCAGGTGCTGTTCGCAACCAGACACGCAACCAGGCAGACAGTTGTTGCGACAGTTTGACGGGGGTAGTCGGCCCATCGACACCGCCGATTACACCATGGCCAAGCAAGCAAGCTCAGCAACATCCGAATGTCCACCTTTCTGAATAATGCTATCCATTCCAAAGGGTTAAGACGTAGTGGGCAAGATCTTCAGGGCAATAGCAAGTCAGAACAAACCGAGTTTGATTATGTAACGACTTTGGCCGCACCGTAACCACCGGCATAATGATAGCTATGACACTATGAGCACCTTAAGGGTGCGTAGTCGACGCGATAGGCGTCCTTACGATTCGCAACCGGTTGCAAACAACCTGTTAATCTTAAAATTTGCGATTTGTTCTGTATGATACAGCTTGCCGACAAACGAGAAGGATAATGCTGGGTCTTAGCCAACAGGATTTGGGTGCTTATGCAGGCAGACAGGCAGGTAAGGTAGGCGAGCAGGCAGGCACACAAGGGCTATTCCCAATTTGACCAGCTCCGCGGCAAGAGCTGCGCGCAACAACTAAAATCCCCATTAAAAAAGCAACCATTGGTATCGCGGACGCAGCAGACGACATAGCCATCCGCCAAGATGGCGAACAATTTTCTTATCAAATTCCATCTGCGGATGAATCTTTTTCCTGCGACACAGCGTGGCAGACGACTGTACCGTCTACACGGCAACGTCAGTTCGAAGGCCACGAAGCCCGTGCCAGCCAACCAATTGTGCATGGGCCGGGGGCGCAGCAATATGCTGCCTGCTGCTGCACTAGATCACCTACGTAAAGCGTCTGCACATTTCCGGTATAACCACATTAAAAGACCGTGGCAAACAAAGTTAATAAAGTTTCCCGCGGCTCAATGGAGGCACTCAGAAGTTCACGTAAGTACACACGCGCACGCACACACCCACCCACCCACCCAGCTACCCATGCGACCCCAAGGTCACCTTACCTGCCCATGCCTAACACTCAGCAGCCGTCCTAAACCCTCTGCAGCCTAATCTAACTGCCAACTATCGAGACGCTACCGTCGAGACGCGTACAGTTGCTCACAAGCCACTAATTCCCAGCCGCCCGCACAAAATCCGAAAGGCATATTGCAGCCTGCCCCATTCCTCAATCACTCCGTACGTTACCGTACTTGTGCGTCAACCGATTCTGTTGGCGCGACCAACAGCGGCGACGGTGGCTCCAGCCCGGGCTCCATGAAACGCCGCCACGCCCGGCGGTCTGGATTATGCTCACTCAAGAGCAGTCCAGTGAAACAACCGTGAACGGCCAGAGCGTACCGCTGATCATCCGTCGCAAACCGTGTGATATACCTGGAGTTGATCTCAGCCCCCACCACCCGTATCTGTAGCGTTCCCGGCCGCCCCGCGGGCACCGTCACGCGCTCCACCGTGTTGCGCCGGTCTGTCCTGCTGCCATTGGCCCCCCCCGCACTCCAGCCGCTGTTCCCATAAAACACCATGACGGCGTCACCGTCCGCGGCGGCGTCAGTGGCCCTTCCTGTGGAGCTTGTCGTACTGAGTACGACCTCTAAATCCAGGTTGTTGACTAGCGCGTAAAGCGCCAGAGATTCAGCCGGGGGATCTGGCCATGCGAGGGTCACCACGACAGTCCCGGAGCCTGTGGCGATGATGTAGTAGGCGTGGACGTCGCCTTCCTGTATCGGCACGTAGTCGATGAGCTGTAGCGACGGGTTGGCGCAGGACGAGGTGCTGCTAGCGCCGCTGCCGCCCTTGCTATTGCCCTTGCTACTGCTGCTGCTGCTGCTGGCGGAGGCGGAGGCGGAGGCTGAGGCTGCCGCTGCCTGGGGCCCTAGGGGCAAGGAGCTGCTAAGATCCGCCCGGCCAAAGCCCTGTGGGTGTGAGTAACGGGTTTGGGCATTAAATGTATTATTATACATATACATACAGATATGTATGTATACATACATACATCAACATACCTTTCCATGCTTGGGTGTATGGGCGTGTGTGCGTTACAGCTGGAGGTGTGGTAGTCTGGAAACACGGAGCGGCGGGAGCTCGGCGTGGGGGAGCACGTAGCAGGGCGTGGGGGAGCCCCAGGGCGGCAAGGAAGGGTTTGCGGTGAAGGTCGCGGTGTGTGCTAGTTGAGCAAAGCTCGCCGGGTCAGAACCAACCAGCGAGTTCCCCGTTCCACAAAAGTTTGAGAGTCCAGTCGCACTAAACCATCGAGCTTGCTAGCAAGCATGCCAGCAGGCCTACGATGACCTGCTAACATCATCCATCCATCCATCCATCCATCCAAGCAAAGAACTAGTTAGTTGGTCAGTCCGTTATCCAGCTATCGGAAATCATAACTAACCGCCGTACAAACTCGTACTCGTATTCATTTGTTATATATTTATTGTCCTGACCTGATATCCCGACGGTGCCGGTTCAAGTTGCGTTAGTGTACTCAGCGACATCCCCTGCTGCATGTCGTACGCTCCTCCTATTAGCACGGCCTTGAGCAGCATGCCACTGGGGATGAACGGCGCGGCACCTGGCGTGTCATTGCGGCCTGCGAGGCAGGGGGCCGTACGAGCGACAGTGAGAGGGGGGGTCAGGATATGAGTGAAGACTCCAGGACACGCGAGGGGAGCTACGAGGAGAAGACTTCGTTGGGGTCTCGTTCAAAAAGCGCCTGCGCCTTTTAGCCATGCAGCCTTAGGAAGGTGCGGAAGTTAGCGATTCCAACCATAGTACAGAGTCGGGAGATGTAAGGAACTTAAGTTCCCCCAGTCGTGCAAAGTTTGAAAAGATTGGCGCCCACTGACTTCGGAACATGCCCTCCCCCTCTGTCGTTGCCTCGCGGTGCGGCAGCCAGCAGTGACCTTTGTCGACTGCTGTTTTTTGGGCGGGGCCCCAGCGCGAAGCGCCCAGGGGGGCCCCGACCTGTAGGATTGCCCATGTCCGTGTGTGTGTGTGTGTGTGTGTGTGTGTGTGTGTGTGTGTGTGTGTGTGTAACGGACCAAACATAACATCTCGCCCGGCTGAAACGCGTTGTAGGTACTATACAGCATTCTCTATTGCAAGGTATCTCGCATGTAGCCAACAAAAATCGTATGAGCACAAACAAGTTTGGCTGCCTCAATTGACCGAGGCCAAAGTCACATCAACGCCTCTCGCGCTAAATTTCATCCCGAAAGGTACCGCGTATCTCATATTTGAATTCTTAGATGACGGCGTATGACAACTCGAACTCCCATGCCTTGAGTGTGTAACGGATCAAACATAACATTTCACCCGGCTGAAACGCGTTATCGGTACTATACAGCATTCTCTACTGCAAGGTATCTCGCATGTAGCTAACAAAGACCGTATGAGCACAAACAAGTTTAGCTGCCTCCATTCACCGACCTCAAAAGTCACATCAACGCCTCTCGCGCTAAATTTCATCCCGAAAGCTGCCGCGTATCTCATAATGGAATTCTGAGATGACGGCGTATGATAACTCGAACACCCAGCTTGTGTTACCATTTGCCGGCATGAGCAATCCGACATGCCACCAGCAGGCCAACAAATTTGCTTGCATTTCTATATGAAATACACAAGCTGCTTGTTTGTACATTTACTTTGGCCAATGCACGGGGCCTCCGAGACTTGCGGTGTGCCGCGATGAAGCTCGCGGCTGTGGGGCGGATTGCTGAGGCCGCTGGCGCTTCGGGGATAAACATCACAGACAGCACCGAACTTCACTCAGCTTGCGTTACCAATTTGCCCGCACGGGCATTCCGACTTGCGGTCTGCCGCACTGTCCATGCGGCATGCACCTGGGATGGATGCGATTCGCGTGGAGCCCGCAGGCGGTGCTGACGATTCCGCCGGTGCGAGCTTAGCTCCCACACCATCAATACTGCTGCAACAAAGCACATCTCCCACCGCAGTGACACTACCCATCAATTGTCACACGTGCCGTGCTAGCTACCGGCCTGTACGGATGCAGGGGGGGCCCGCCCTTTTTCCGGCTTCGAGGAAGCCGACACCCGACTTGTTTCGCTTCGCATTCGCATTCACAGTTCGCTTCTGCATGCTGCTCCTTGATGCCCAGTGGCACCACAATGAGCTATATACCCTACCCCTATCGTAACCCAAACCCTGGTGTGCACGTGTAGGATTGCCAAATTAGGCGCCTGGTGAATAAAAAAAGACATGAAAACGGAGTAAGGGTCTTCCCGTCGTGCCGGCCTTACCAACACCTCAAAGCTTGAAATGCAAGGAAGAGTCCGGTCAGGTGTGATCCGGGGGCCAACCTTCGGGAAGGTTCGTCTCATCGTGTTCTAAGAAACATCAGCTTCCGCTGGTCAATCTAAGGACCTACCGAAAGGATAAAACCCCGTCGTGAAGTACTGTCGCGCCAGCACAGCAGCACCCGCCACCAGTGGCGCCGACATGCTCGTACCGCTCATCACCCGCCGCGTCGTACAGTTGTCGCTAGCACCCCGAGACATCCCGTCAGTCCACGCCGACAGCACAGCCACGCCTGGCGCCACCAAGTCGGGCTTTATGCGTCCATCCACGGTAGGGCCGTACGCCGAGAACGACGGCACTTGGCTGTACGGCTGATCCGGATGCCATTCGGCACGTGCAAAGACGCGGGCGCCAGCGCCCAGCGCCATCAGCACCCTGAGCCCTACAGTCTGAGACAGGGGGGCTGTCGGAAGGGTTGTATTTGTGGGGTTAACCTGCAACAGACTTTGGACGGCGCCAGGCGTGTCGTTGATGATGGCGACGGCGGCTGCACCCGCGGCGGCCGCTGCCATGGCCTTGACATATACCATGCAGCCGCCGCGCAGCGCCAAGATCATCTTCGGCATGCCGCTACCGTAAATCGCCTGTGCCTGTGCTGCGTTGGCCAGCTTGCGACATGCGGCAGAGGGTGTGGCCGCGATGACCTCCATGACCATGCCCTCCAAGTCCTTTAATGTACGGAAGTCACCACCGCCGCCGCCGCCGCTCGTTTGGTGAGGCAGGTCAACCAGCAGGTCGAAGCTGAAGGCTGACGGAAGGGCAGCAGCGGAGGCTGGCGGCGCCGGCGATGCGGCGGGGAGCTTGCGCCGCCGTGGCGGCGGCGACGGCGGCCCCGAAGGCAGACCCAGTGCCTCCGCCTCCGCCTCCGCCGCCACCCCACGTCCTGTCGTATTCGACGGCACGGTGTCAAGGGCAGCGGTGGCGACGACGACGATCGGCTTCGTGTCCGGCGGGTCGGCAGTTCCTGTCCAGATCCGCAGCCGCAGAGTACCGCTGGCGGGGTCGGTAGCGGGCTCCCAGCTTAGAGTGGATCCCACCGATAGCGTATTCTTAGCGTTGGCGGGAGCCGACACGGTGCCGTTGGCGGGCCGCGGCTGTAGATTGCCGTCGTTTCCAGCTGCGGTCAACACCAGCAGTTGCGGATTGCGCCACGTGACGTCATCTAACTGCTCACATAGACTGTTGTACCAAAACGCCCTGTGTACGGCAAAAAAAGCAAGAAGGCGCCAAAGGGCGTATGTGCAGAGTTGTTAATAAGATGGGAATCTTGGGTGTATATCCTATCCTAAACAGGCCATGTTGGGGCACTTCCGTCCGCGGGTGTGGGAGATCTTGCTTTCCTGTCAAAGCAACAAAAGGCGTATCACGTGGCTGTGGCTGGACAGGAGGATGGATGAGAATTTTGAGATTGGTGACATGCGGCATGAAGCGACGCTGATGTCCATTCGTCCCTCAGCCGGTTACCGGGCGACCCGTGTTGCTGCCTTACGGGGGAGCGACCAACGTGCACGGCTTTGTTCTTACTGTGTTTCTAATTTTGCTCAGCCCCGCACATACAGAACATATATAAAATGTAATATACAATATACGAAAGACATAAAGTAAGACATATGTAAGATAAATAGATAGATAGATAGATAGATAGATAGAGCGAGAAGCTTTGCAGTGGGGTTTGGACGTTCTGCAGTACTGTAATCCTTTTCGTTACTCTGGCGGCGGCTGTTGCTCGACATTCGTTCGTTTCTTCCCACAGATAGCCCCTTCTGGCAGGTTTCTGACATGACCCACATGATGATCACAATACGCCGTACCCACTGCCCAATCCTCGCCAAAATTGGAAAGTGGGTTCCTTTCTAGCCCCCTCCCCCCGCACGCAGCAGAAATGCGGTCCTGTGAAGTGCTGTACGAATATCGTTCCTTCCCGGTGGTTCGTACTCACTGCTTGCTGCCCCAGGAGTCTGATTGTACGAACACGCCAACGTCCAACTGATACTGCAAGATCTCTTCGTACGACGGCAGTTTGTACGTTTTCTGTGCGTCCATAATGTCATAAAAGGCGAGCCGGGCTCCCGGGGCCATGCCCGTGGCCTGATCGATGATGTACGGCGGACCTCCGATGGCTTCGCCATTGGCCGGCGGCGGCGGCGGCGGCGGCGGCAGCGGAGGCGACGGAGGTGAGGGCTGTGGAGGCGCCGGTGGCGGTGGGGGTGATCGCGGCAGTGGCTTGGGGGCTGGGGAGGGAGGTGAAGGTGAAGGAGGTGGGGGTGAGGGTGACGGAAGGGGCGACTTGAGAATGCGCGGTGACCGCAATGTTGACGGGGGCTGCAAGAGTGGCGGGGGTTGGAGGAACGCGGGCATGGGACTTGGCGGGGGTTGTGGAGAGGGCGACACAGTTGACGGTAAGGGCGGTGGCGGCGGCGGTGGCGGCGGCGGCAGTGACAGCCGGCTGACGGACGGAGGGAGCGACCGGCGCCTCAGCGGTGGCGGCGGCGGCGGTGGGAAGGGCTGAGGCGATGGCGCCAGAGCCGGCGGGGGAAGTGGTGGTACTGATAGAGCCTGCGACGCCGACGCCGACGGCGACGGTGGCGGCCGCTTTTTGCGTTTCCTCCCTACCATTAAGGCAGCCGTCGCAGGTGGGCCAGGACTGGTCCGCGGCAACGGCAGCGGCGACGGCGGCGCCGCTGCCACGACACCCTCCCCGCCGCCGCCGCCGCCGCTAACATTTCTTCCCTGGATGGAGCCGTAGCAGGCGCCCACAGCGATACCCGAGACATGGGTCCCGTGACCATCAGCGTCGCCAAAGTCTGAGGTCGTTCGACGGTGTTGAGGTTGGGAAGCGGTGGCGGGCGCGGCGCGGCACGGCCGCAGGGTTCAGGTGTGAAGGAGGGAAACAAAATAGTTGGCGGATGGGAGGAGAGGAACGGGTACGGCGAAGGTATTCCGCAATTCCACATTACATACAGATGGAAGACCGTAAACAGCTGGATCGAGCAATGATCTAGAATAGTTGATGGTGGCACCTATAGCCGTATTATGAAGGGCTCTTGAAATGTCTGTCTGCGTTCGTTTATTAAACTTCCGTTTGTCCGTCTGCTTGTCATTTTGTTCGTCTATATGTCCGTCTGCGTCCGTTTTCGCGTAACCTAAATCCTAAAACCCGAAGTAACCTGACCTGCCCTAGTTGGGGCCAAGGCTCCGATCACCTCCACGTTCTGAAGGGAAGCGCTGTATACCCCCCCCCCACACACACACTTACAGCTCAACCACCGTCGTGGTGACAGACCGACGACCTGACAGACCGCGGCGCTACCCTACCTGAGTAGCAGTAGTAGCTGGCGACCTTTCGATGCGCATCGCTCCTAAAGACTCTGGCTCCCCGTCGTGTTGGGTCTTGTACAAGCATACCAGCCACGTTGGGCATCTGCAGTCCCAAGGCAGCGAGCGGTAAAAAGTTTTTTTTCAAATAAAATAATGCGACGAAGGACGTTTGTGCTGCGGTCCGCCGGGTCAAAAAATACGTCGAATAACCCCAAGTCAATCCTTGACCCAGACCTCTGTCTGCCTGAGGAGCCAAAGGCACTTGGGGCACCTAAACCGGACCTGACGCACCACCCTTGTAAAAAAGCAAAGCAAAATAAAGAAAAGCAAAGCATCCACCATCATGCTACGAGTCCGAAACCGGGATTTGGAATTATGAGCAGGCTCTTAAGCGGTTAGCAGTTCCACTCAATCATCAAGCACCCTGCTGCCACTTCTTTGCCGTGACATACCGAGGGGTCGAAAAAGTAGCAGCTGTCCATATCCACTCCGCTATCTGAGATGCCGAGCAGCTGAGAGCTGCCGTCCAGGCCGCGAGACCAGTACGGCAGGGCGGCTGCACCGGCGGGCTGCACCGCGGCCGCCGCAGCCGCCGCCACTGCTGCCATATCCCTGCCGCCAAGTTGCACGACCAGGTCCCCTGCGAGATCTCTCCGAGCTAGACGCGGCGTGGGTTCCAGCCAATGAACTTCTCGCTGGGATGATAGCCAGGCCAGCGCTGCGGGGAGGTCCGCTGCGCAAATGGCCGCTATGAGCCGCCGCCCACGGGGCTTGAGTGATGGCGTGCAGGCCGCGGTGGAGAGAGCGGTTGGTCGTTGCGTTAGCTCCTCCTCCTGATGCTGCTGCTGCCGCAGCTGCTGCTGCTGTTTAAGCTGCACAGTGGCTGTAGCTGTGAGATTTTGGATCAGAGGCCCCAGCCAGGCGGCCGCCAACGATTCTGCGGCGGCCGTGGCGGCGGCGGCGGTGGTGCCGTACGTGCTGAAGAGCTGCACGGTAACTATGTACTTTGTCACCCCACCTGCGCCGAAATGCGGGGCCGGTGAATGTACTGGCGAGCGGGGGAGCTGGAGGGGGCTGGAGGGAATGAGGACGTAAGGGAAGACCGTGGCAGGCAGGCTGCCACTTTACGCGCCACTTCATTCTAAAATGTGTCGATAATTGAGCGTGAATCTGGTGCAGAGCGTATTGCATTCTTGGCAGTGGCCGCAAATGGGCCGATAACACGGGCAGATCCACAAATTGCTTGCTTCGTGCGTTTCCATGTTTTCTTACTAATTTTTCAAACACACCTACATCATAATAATTGATTTTAATTTAATCATTATTTTCTTATTTCCAATTCTTATAGGGACGAGGACCGTCCGCAACCTTCTATTGAGAGCATCTTAGTTCCCCAAACTGCCCCCAACAGATGATGCGCCTGAAAAGGCAATGAAGGACGCTTACCCTCCTGGACACTGTCGAAGTTCGCTCCGCCGTCGGAGTCGCGCGCGCCATCCATGCCCAGCGCCTCAGCTGTCCCTGCACTTGTGCTTTCTGCTGTCTGGCTGGAGCTGTCGCCCCGCGCAGTGAACAGGGCCCCTCCAGGAACGACATACGACCATTCTGGCGCAACCTTGTGCTCTGGGAGGCAAGGCAACTGCGGATGAGGGCAAAAAATGATTTCCGTTTGTCCAGAGATTTAACTTGGAGCTCGAGAAACATGGTTCTCCATAGGTTGGGCTGTTTCACAGCAGGGGACGCATCGCGCGTTGCGAAGTCAGATCCATTTACTGACAACCCTGGACGTCTGTTAAGCACTAAGGTGCTATCCAGATTTACGATTCGAAATAGTTTTCATGAAGAGGGGAGTTTTATCGGTACGGTCAGTATGTGCGGAAGCATGAGCTTACAATGCTGATGGCGAGGCCTCTAGAGAGCGCTTCCGACAGGACAGCGGGCGTAGAGGAAACCAGCCAAGTGTTTTCCGGTATGAATCCATGGACAATGCCGCGGTTGCGGCGAAGGTGCTTGTACAGTGCCCCCCGCTGGGCCCCGACAGCGTATGACACGAAGAACGCCTGAGCCAAGCTCGGATCTGAACCTGACGATCCTGGGGGGCTGGCGGACGTGCTGTCTAACAAACCTCGAATGTTGGTTGCGGACCTGTGGCGATCATCGACTTTGCTCAGCTCAGTGAACAGTTTGTCATATAGACGAAGGGTTTCCGCACCTCGTTGGCTCGTCCAGCTTTAAAGTGCCCGTTTTGAGATAAATTGTAATGGATTCCTTAGCTAGGCAAATATTTGGAAACGCTAATGCGAGCGCAAGACATGCCAGCCGTAGCCAGTCCATATCACAACTCTCGTGAACGCGTAGCCATCCGTGTTAGCAAGTTTTATAGAATTCCGTTTTTAGCATCACTGAACTACTGGGTTAAGCTAATAATTTATTGGCTGCTGGTCTTGAGCTGCCACAGCTAATGCAGTTCTAATGATTTATCTATAGTTACATTCTAACTACACAGTGTCAATTATATGTCATATAAGGGGCCCCTGCATAATGAGTTTAAGATTTGTGCTCCGAAACCGCGAAACGCGCTACTGCTGCTAACATTGACATTGGCACATTTGGGACTTAAGATCATAGCGCGAAAGATTGACGTGGTTCTACTTGATTTTTACCCACAAATGAATTTTCAGGATCCGCTGGAAGGGAGGCTTCCAGGACTGTTCACGAACTACTAACTGCTGACCTGTCGACTCCTGTCACCGCAGTAGCCCTGAACAAAGGAGCTAAAGCTAATATAGTTCTGGGCAATCAAACTTGACATTGAGTGTTACAAAAGCATGATTGTCTTTGATGCCGTACTGTTTGGTACAAGCCCGGCCTCCCCAAATACAAATCTGGTGGGCTCGACCGTGTAGCGATGAAACACTTATTGCATTCCACTTATAGCAATCTACTTATAGCATTCCACTTATAGCATACTTACAGGGTATTTCCACTAGGCCGCACACTAACATTAAGTTCAAAAAATCTCACACCTGGCTCAGCAAATCATGCAAGCGATAAGAAACTAGTTAAATACAACTAGTTTCTTCTTATCGAATAGAAAGTAAAAGTTCTTTAAAAAAATCGCGTAAAGGGGCTCTGTACGCGAAAAGCAGTAGGGCCCAGTGGAAACGCCTCGGACACTAACAGCCGCACACTAACTTTTGGACATTATCTTTAATGTGGACTTAGTGTGCGGCTAGTGGACAGGTGTTTCCACTAAGCGCCCCGGAACCATACGACAGGTTCATATTAAGGCGCCAAACCATTGTAATACTAAGAGTAAGGTGCACTACGTTTCTCTCTTTTACCTACAATGGACAACAACTTGCTTATTCAAATTGCGAGCGGTTTGGCCGCGGCTCTGTTGGCCCTCCTAGCCATCACCGGGCCAGCTGGGCCAGGCAACGACGCTTCTTTGAATCCTCTGGCTGCTTGCCTTAACCTGTTGGAGCAGTTAGTTAGTGCTGTCCATGATAATCCACATAGTTTCCGTATGTACCACTCGCCATGGTATGTCCAGCCCCGGCCTACAGATTTGTACAACCACTTCATGGTCTCAGAATGGCCCGAGGATGTCTACCCTCTTCACCACCCGCTTCAGGGTGCCTATTTCAGTTGAGAAGCAGGTACGAATAAACACCTAAACCGCCAACTCCGGCTGGGCTCTCTCAGCCAACGGCGGAGGTGAAAACGGGACTGATACGGGGCCGATGAGTTGTCGTGTTGGTCATGTCGTTACCAAAGGCGCTCTCCTGATGACAGGCGGAACAGGAGGGCGCGGGAAAATAGGGTGAGACATCGGTGGTAATAAGAAACGAGCCAGGAATGAAAGTGGTGCAAATAATGACAAGGACATCCGCAAGGAAAAAAAGATGGTTCTCACCTTGTGGTGCAGTTGTGTGCCGAGGTAGTTGTGAGACGCCATGGCCGTGGCGTCCATGCCCAGATGCGTTGCCGGGACAAATAAACGCTGTCCCTGGGATTGACAACCGAGATATACGCCTCCATCGAAAGCCAGCGGCCGCTGCTGAGTATTTGCCGCTTGGTGCCAGTTCATGTCCGGAGACATTGCAACCGGGAGACCTGCGAAGCCCCGCATGTTTGCTGTATAGGCCTGCTGCACAGTGTTTAACTGGTGGCTCATGGCTGAAATTGTGAGGAAATCGAGCGGTCCTGCTCGGAATTCCACTGGTCGACGGGCTATTTGCGGCTGTGGATAAAGGAAAATAGAAAAGTCAATGTAGGGCCTTGAGGAAGGAAAATGGCTGACTATGAATTTTCCATGTGTCCACTAAGTCCGCATTAGTGGCACACATAACTTTCAAACTGGACATTAACTTCCAGCGGGAAAATTCATAGTCAGCCATTTTCCTTCCTCAAGGCCCTACGTTGACTTTTCTATTTTCCTTTATCCACAGCCGTAAATAGCCCGTTGACCAGTGGAATTCCGAGCGGGACCGCTCGATTTGCACACATTTTCAGCTATGAGCCGCCAGCTAAACACTGTGCAGCAGGCGTATACCGCAAACATGCGGTGCTTCGCAGGTCTCCCGGTTGCAATGTCTCCAGACATGAACTGGCACCAAGCGGCAAATACTCAGCAGCGGCCGCTGGCTTTTGACGGCGGCGTATTTCTTGGCAGTCAATCCCAGGGACAGCATTTATTTGTCCCGGCAACGCATCTGGGCATGGACGCCACGGCCATGGCGTCTCACAACTACCTCGGCACACAACTGCACCACAAGGTGAGAACCATCTTTTTTTCCTTGCGGATGTCATTATTTGCACCACTTTCATTCCTGGCTCGTTTCTTATTACCACCGATGTCTCACCCTATTTTCCCGCGCCCTCCTGTTCCGCCTGTCATCAGGAGAGCGCCTTTGGTAACGACATGACCAACATGACAACTCATCGGCCCCGTATCGGTTCCGTTTTCGCCTTCGTTGGCCGAGAGAGCCCAGCCGGAGTTGGCGGTTTAGGTGTTTATTCGTACCTGCTCAACTGAAATAGGCACCCTGAAGCGGGTGGTCTAACGTTCGAGACCGGGCCGTAGTTCGTCACACAGCACCGAGAAACACTCACTGTCCATGTGAAAGTTGCACCGAAAGACATCCTCGGGCCATTCTGAGACCATGAAGTGGTTGTACAAATCTGTAGGCCGGGGCTGGACATACCATGGCGAGTGGTACATACGGAAACTATGTGGATTATCATGGACAGCACTAACTAACTGCTCCAACAGGTTAAGGCAAGCAGCCAGAGGGTTCAAAGAAGCGTCGTTGCCTGGCCCAGCTGGCCCGGTGATGGCTAGGAGGGCCAACAGAGCCGCGGCCAAACCGCTCGCAATCTGAATAAGCAAGTTGTTGTCCATTGCAGGTAAAAGAGAGAAACGTAGTGCACCTTACTCTTAATATTACAATGGTTTGGCGCCTTAATATGAACCTGTCGGGGCGCTTAGTGGAAACACCTGTCCACTAGCCGCACACTAAGTCCACATTAAAGATAATGTCCAAAAGTTAGTGTGCGGCTAGTGGAAATACCCTGTTAACGCTATTTGTATGCCAGGAGAGAGGTGGACGGGCACTCCAGTAATGGTCTTGGCCCCCTTCATTCATCGGCTTTTCGAAGACATCCGTAGTATGGAGGACTGCCCTAGTCAGTTTGAATTGTCTTGATTGATGCCGATTCACAAATAAGGCGATTTGTACGATATCAAGGCGCCGGGTGGAGCCCTCGTGAAGTGTTATGCTCGTGTTTTGGAGTGCCGGTTGAGCAATTTGGTTCAGGCTGCCAAGGGTGGTCTACTTTCATACCAATCGAGCTCTGCGTGCTTTAACCTTTTAAAGGTAGGTATGTAGCGCGCCAAAAAAAACACTGTGCAGTTTGAAGAGATGCCGTGGGTTGGCAGAGCTGGGTATTTATGGCCTCATTACGTGCTGGATGCCCCATTCGAATCCTGCACTGATGAATGAGCTATTCAGTGCGTGACAGCGAGCCACTCATGCCCTGATAATCAAGTTGCGTAGGAAGGAATTGTTTCTGCCTAAGATAGCGCTCAAGTATTTTTGAAGTGCAGATTCGATCCATTCTGTCGTATGGAGTCCAGGTGTGGGGACCGCACTTCATTCTCCAGTTCGTTGAATGACCAGCCGACGCGCATGGGCGATCCTGCGACTTCGAAAGGTCTCTAGGGAATCGCATGGTCAAGCTGCAACGCACGTTTCTGAAAGGGTTAGGGTAAAGTTCCCCTTTAGGGGAAGAACTATAGGGGGGGATGGAAGGATTGAGGAAATGGCGTACACACGACACAAAGTCAGAAGTGGCATGTTGATGTTGTTGATGTTGTTACAGGGTGGTTAAGCTTCACCAGTGGCCTCCTTCCCGAGGCAATTCCCTGCTCTCCCCTGCTAGAGGGGCACCCTAAGCCATTCACCCCATCCGACTTCAGAGTGTACTCTTTGAGTTTGGCAACTCACCACCAGCATCCAACCAAATCTAGCGGATCAACGGCGCGTCAACTTAGTTCCTGGTCAGCTCGCGAGTTGACTTTATCACGTCCTACATCGTCCACAAGATGGGGGGCCACCTCCCATTTCTTCACCTCTCAAACACCCCGAGAGGTCGGCAGGCGGATTTGAACCCGGACGCGCCGGGACGCGACGGGAGCAGAAGCCAGGCCTTAACTTCTGCCAGCCGCCTGCGGGTCACGGAAGTCACATAGCCGCAACATCAGGGCAACTGGTGATTTTCCACAGCAGTTTACCAAAACGGTGGTATCCCCTATTTTGAAGAAGGGTGACCCGTTGGTGGCAGGAAATTATCGGGGCATTGCAGTTGGAGGAGCACTTGCGAAATGCTATGCGTCAGTGATCCTTAACCGCCTGGTACGTGCTGGGGAAATACTGGACCTGCGGCACCCATGCCAAGCGGGTTTCAGGCGGGGTTTTGGCACTGCTCACCACCTCTTTGTCAAGCAACACCTGGTCAGGCGGCATCGGATCGCGGGACAACCGCCGTTGATAATAGTACAGATTGACTTTGAGAAGGCCTTTGATAGGGTGCCTCGCGAGCACATGTGGCTTCGGTTGCAGGAGAGGGGGATTAGCGGCCCCATGCTAGGTGCTCTGAGAAAAGCGTACGAGAAGGTGTCCATGGTGATGAAGGTAAATGAGAAAGTGGGGGGAGAGTTTGAGTCTAAGCAAGGAGTGAAGCAAGGGTGTCCTTTATCTACTGAGTTGTTTGGACTTTTCATCGAGACACTAGCCGATCTGATTGATACTCATGACCTTGTAGAAGCTGGTGCACGTAAGTGTGACGCACCCCTTGTGGACAGCAAGCGCGTCTCCATACTGTTGTATGCAGACGATGTTAGTCTGCTAGCGACGTCAGTAGAGCGAATGTCTGAGTTGCTACATCTTGTGGACTTGTTTTGTGAAGCTTTTGGGATGCGACCAAATGTCTCAAAGTGTGAAAGGCTTGTTTTTGCATGTGACGGCACCCAGCAGTCGGAACTTAGCGGGAGATGTCAACAGTTACGGCTATCAGGCCAGGTAGTACCTGCCAAAGATAGCGCTCGCTATCTGGGCTTGGTATATGAGCCAGAACGGCCTTTTAGTGCGTGCCGTCAGCAGTTGTGTGATACAGGTCGGTCCGCTATGTTTTCCTTAAGCGCAAAGCTGGACAAAATGAAGCTGTTTGCCCCCGATGTGCGAATGCGGTGTTTTGCAACCCAAGTCCGAGCAATTCTGTTGTATGGCTGCCAGGCGTGGGGCCCTTTTGCGCTGGCAGAGGTCGTGGACAGGGCGGGAAGGCGGCGGGATAAAGCAAACCTTGCGGAGGGCATGTTCGAAGCCTGTTTGAAGGATAGTGCAGTCCAGCTGCAGATTTTATTCATGAGGCAGGTAGTGGGGACGGCACGGCCATCCCACAGGCTGTTGTACGCGGAGCTGGCTGAACTCCCCTTACAATATTACATGGTGAAGCAGATCCTCCGTTTCTGGAACCGCCTTCAAAAGCAAGTGGGATCCATTGCTCATGCAGTTTTACGGCAGGAGATAACCGATGCCCTGACCAACCCGGAATGGGAGGGTTGGGGAATCTCAATGTTACGACTGTTTTCCTTCTTGGAGTGCAACATTTGGAGCGGAATACCGCAAGAAGTCGTGGGGGTAAAGGAGCGTGTTGACTGGTTGTTGAGTAGACCTCTACCAGAAGGAGCGATAATAACGGCACTAAGAGAGCGTTTGATGAGCGGCTGGGACCATACGCGTCTGACTGTCTTGCCAGAGGAGTACCCATCAGATGGGAAGCAACCGGGAGTGCAAATGGCGAAGTATAAGCACTGGATGGGGCTGCCCTTTTCGGGAGCC